AGTGGCGCTGTAGCTCAAGTGGTAGAGCGCTCAGCCTTGAGCTGAAGAGCTGAGGGACAGCGCTCAGGCCCAGAGTTCAAGCCCCATGACCGACCAAAAAAAAAAAAAAAGATATATAATCAATACACAAAAACAATAGTGTTTCTTATACCTGCAATGAATTATCTGAAAAAGAAATCAAGTACATAGGAAAAACTGAGGAATAAATAACTAGTAAAATATTTAGCTAGGGAAGTGAAAAAAAATCTGTAAACTGAAAAACTCTAATGAAGAAACAGAGGTGACACAAGTAGATTACTGCTAGAAGAATTCTGGCTGGAAGAATTAATGTTGCTAAAAATTCCTGTGCTGGACACAGAAATATGCAGCTTCAGGGCAATCTCCATCAAAACTCCATGTTATTTTTTACTCAATTAGTAAAAGATCTTAAAATCTATGTAGAACCATGAATAGTAATTAACAGTGAAAACAATTGAGTTAAAACAGCAAAACTGAGCCAGGTGCCAGTGGCTCATGCTGGTAATCCTAGCTGCTAAGAAGGCTGAGATCTGAGGATTGCAGTTTAAAGCTAGCCCAGGCACAATAGACTCTTATTTCCAATAAACCACCAGAAATCTGGAAGTGGTGCTGTGGCTCAAGTGGTAGAGCACTAGCCTTGAGCTGAAGAATTCAGGGATGGCACCCACACCCAAAGTTCAAGCACCGTGACTAGAAATAATACCAAACAAACAACAACCACGATGACAAAAAAAAACAGAAAAACTGGAAGTGGAACACTACCTGACTTCAAACTATAATATAGCTCTAGTAATTAAAAAATCATGATACTCCATCAAAATAGACCAAAATAGACTATCAACCCTGACCAATGAAACAGAATATAAAGCCCCCAAATAAACCACAATTAGAGCTGATTTTTGACAAAAGTATGAAGAATAAGCTGGGTGCTAATGGCTTATACTTGTAATCTTAGTTATTCAGGAGATTGAGATCTGAGGATTAAGGTTTGAAATCAGCTAGGCAGGAAAGCCTATGAGACACTTTTCTCCAATTAACCACCAAAAGCTAGAAGTGGAGAGGTGGCTCAAGTGGTAGAGTGGCAGCCTTGAGCACAAAAGCTGAAGGACAGAATAAAGCCCCAGGACCAGTACACACATACACACACACACACACACACACACACACACACACACAGTGTGAAGAGCCGGGCACCAGTGGCTCATGCCTGTAACACACACACACACACACACACACACACACAGAGTGTGAAGAGCCGGGCACCAGTGGCTCATGCCTGTAATCCTAGCTACTCAGGAGGCTGAGATCTAAGGATCTTTGTTCAAAGCCAGCCTAGGCAGGAAAGGCTGTGAAACTCTTATCTCCAATAAATCACCTGAAAGCTGGAAGTGCACTGTGGCTCAAGTGGTAGAGCGCTAGCCTTGAGCTGAAGAGCTGAGGGACAGCGTTCAAGCCCAGAGTTCAAGCCCTGTGACCACCAACAACAACAAAAAGAAGTACGAAGAATATATCACAATGGGAAAGGGAGAGTATCTTCAAAAAAAAGGTAGTGTGAAAAGTAGATATATACCTACAGAAGAAGGAAATTGGACCCTTGCCTAATATCATATATAAAAATCAACATGAATTTAAGGCATAACCAGAAGACCTGACACTATAAAACTTCTAGAAGAAAACAGAGGAAGCTATATTAAATTGGGCAATGGTTTTTTGGCTACAAAAACAGAAGTGGACAACTGGGATTATATCAAACTAAAAACTTCTGCACTACAAAGGATAATAAATAAAAACAACCAATGGATTAAGAAAAAATTTTTACTCGGAGGCTGAGATCTGAGGATCATGGTTTGAAGCAAGCCTGGGCAGGAAAGTCTGTGAGACTTAGCCACAAGGAAACTGGAAATGGTTTTGTGGCTCAAAGCAGTCGAGTGCTAGCTTTGAGTGAAAAAGTGCAAGGACAGCTCCCAGGCCCTGAATTCTAATTCTTGTTTTGTTTTTTTTGGGGGGGTCCGGTCATGGGGCCTGAACTCTGGGCCTGGGCGCTGTCCCTCAGCTCTTCAGCTCAAGGCTAGCACTCTACCACTTGAGCCACAGCGCCACTTCCAGCTTTTTTCTTTTTTCTTATGTGGTGCTGGGGAATCGAACCCAGGGCCTCATGCATGCAAAGCAAGCGCTCTACCACCGAGCCACCTTCCCAGCCCTGAATTCTAATTCACCACACATAAAAAGCCACATATTGAATAATGCCATTTACATGAAACGTCCAGAATAAGAAAATCTATAAGGACAAAGTATTTTAGTGATTGCCAGGGACTGGTAAGAGAAAATATATGGAATGACTGCTCACAAGTATGGACCTCTTGTATGGGAGCTGGAGATGTTCTGGAAAAGGATGCACAACTCTGTGACTATATAGAAAGCCATGGATTAGAATATGGTAAAAGCCTGAATTTTATGTTAAGTGAGTTGTCAACAAAGCTGTTATGCTGAAAAAGACACTTCAACTTAGTCTTCAAAAATACATAACAAGTGGGTGCCTGCGTGTGTGCGTGGGCCAGGGCACTGGCCAGGAAGGCTCACCAGCGACATCCCCACATCCCGAGGCCCGGCCCACATCGTCCCCTCCCCACGCCACCCCCAGCGCCCCTCAGGCCCGCCAGACCCAGCCATGGTCAAGGCAATCCTCATCTTCAACCACAGGAAGCCAAGGCTGTCCAAGTTCTACCAGCCCTACATAGTGAAGACACCCAGCAGCAGATCATCTGGGAGACCTTCCACCTGTGTCCAAGAGAGATGAGAATGTCTGCAACTTCCTGGAAGGAGGCTTTTGATAATCAGTCTTAAGCTGTGTAACGTTGTGTGGCCTATGGAGTTATATGCAGTTAATTGGAGGCTCTGACAACAAGCTGATCTACAGACTCTATGCAAATATGCTGTATTTTGTCTTCTGTGTGGATTCCTCAGAAAGCGAACTTGGCATTTTAGACCTCATTCAGTTGTTGTGGAGACATTAGACAAATGTTTCTAGAATGTATGTGAGCTGGACTTACTATTCCATGTAGACAATGGTGAAATGGTGATGGGCAGAATGGTGCTGGAGACCAACATTAATTAAATTATCACTCAGATCAACGCACAGAACAAACTGGAGAAGTCTGAGGCTGGCTTGGCAGGTGCTCTAGCTCGGGTTGTATCAGCTGTAAAGAATATGAACTTCCCCGAGATCCCAAGAAATATTAACATTGGTGACATCAGTATAAAAGTGCCAAAGTTGCCCTCTTTTAAGTAAAATATTAAAAAGACCACTCTCAGGTAAAACCCAGGGGAAAAAGTCATCTAAGTTTATCATGCAGTTGTTTACCAAAAATAGAGGAGGCGAGTCTTAACTTTTGCTCTTGGATTTAAGTCAAGATACTGTATAGAAGTTGTGTAAAATCAGTTATGGAAGCTCATTGTTGCTTTTCTCGCTCAGTGACTTTAAAAATCACTGAAGGTGGCTCAGTGGTAAAGTGCTTGCCTTACATGTATGAGGCCCTGGGTTCGATTCTTCAGCACCACATAAGCAGAAAAGGCCAGAAGTGGCGCTGTGGCTCAAGTGGTAGAGCGCTAGCCTTGAGCTGAAGAGATAAGGGACAGTGCCCAGGACCAGAGTTCAGGCTCCACGACTGACAAAAAAAAGAAAGAAAAAAAAATTGAATAGTGTCGCTCCTCTGTGTGTGTGTGTGTGTGTGTGTGTGTGTGTGTGTTTCTGTTTTTAGAAAAAACTGCATTCCTATGCCCACCTAAGGCATGCCCGTATGTATTGGCTATTACAGTGTTTCCAAAAGTGGGGTACTTTAATTATATACAAGCCAGACTTTTGGTGTTTTGTATGGATCATAGGTAGAGCATTCGCTAATTCTTTCTACTGTTTGTTACAATGATTATTTAAAGAACCGAGTATGTATTGCATGAAAACATTATGATGTTTTCCTCTTAGTTTAAATAAACTCCAAGATAACTGGACTTCTGAAACACCTTTCTGTTGGCCTGATATCTACGTTAGCAATAATTTTTTTTACAACCCTCTGATCAACAAAGTAAACAAAAGTCTATTTTATCACTTTAAAAAATATATAAACAAAATATATAGTATATGAACCATGTTTATAAAAAACTAGATAGATTATATAAAATAGATTACATATAAATTAGATAGATTATATAAAATCTATCTAGTTTTTATATAAATGAAGACAGACTTACTGATAGGTTTGGAGGGCAAGAAACTTTGTATTCTATATACTTTTATGCTTTTTGTTGTTTGAAGTATATATAGGTATTAGGTTTCTTTTGGTTTGTTTATAAGTTTTTTATTGTGAAAATACTGTACCAAGGGGTTACAGTTACATGAGCAAGGTAATGAATACATTTCTTATCAAGAATCGTTGGGGCTGGGAAGGTGGCTCAGTGGTAGAGCGCTTGCCTTGTATGCATGAGGCCCTGGGTTTGATTCCTCAGCACCACATAAGCAAAAAGAAAAAAAGCCAGAAGTGGTGCTGTGGCTCAAGTGGTAGAGCGCTAGCCTTGAGCTGAAGAGCTAAGGGACAGCGCCCAGGCCCAGAGTTCAGGCCCCATGACCGGACCCCAAAAAAAATTAAAAAAAAGAATTGTTGCCTCCTTCTTTGTTTTTCCCCTACCATCCCTTCCCTCCCACCTCCTCAACTACACTCCCCCTCCCCAGGTATTAGTTTTACATATCTGTGTATGTATACCTACAGATAATACATTCTAGGATTGATAGGTTATCATAATATTTTACATTAATCTTTTCTTTCCTTTCAGGAAACAACAATTAGTGATATCCCTACATTTGAAGCATTCAATAAAATACTGTCTTTACCAAACTCCAGGTTAGTAAAATCAAGACAGTCATCAGAATGTGTGAGTCATTGGAATGGCTTGAAAAAGCACAACACGTTGGTATATTTCTACATTTAGCATTTGAACCTGCTCCCAATGTCTACTTGCCTTACCATCCCTTTACCTGCACATATCACAAAATCCTGACTTAAGGAAAAGAATCCATGGACACATGTTTAAAATGATTTTATTTTGTTTTCTTTGACGCTGAAATCTGGGCTGGGAAGGTGGCTCAGTGGTAGAGTGCTTGCCTGCACGCATGAGGCCCTGGGTTCAATTCCTTAGCACCACATAAGCAAAAAGAAAAAAGCCGGAAGTGGCGCTGTGGGTCAAGTGGTAGAGCACTAGCCTTGAGCTGAAGAGCTGAGGGACAGCGCCCAGGCCCAGAGTTCAGGCCCCACACCTGACCAAAAAAAAAAAAAAAGAAAGAAAGAAAAACAAAGAAAAAAAAGAAATCCTACTGATACCATATTCCCTGTATTCTAAACTTCTACCAAGAATATAATCTCCTCAAGGGGCCTGGTGGCTTACGCCTATAATCCTAGCTTCTCAGGAGGCTGAGATCTGAGGATCCTGGTTCCAAGCCAGCCCAGGCAGGAAAGTCCATGGGATTTTTATCTCCAATTAACCACCAGAAACCCAGAAGTGATGCTGTGGCTCAAGTAGTAGAGTGTTCACCTTGAGCTGAAGAGCTCAGGGACAGTGCCCAGGCCAAGAGTTCAAGACCCACGACCAACAAAAAATAAAAAAATAAAAATAAAAATAAATTGGGAACCAATTATAATTTGTGATGCACGCAATACTAGGTTTCAAGGCACCCTAAAACTAACTTAAGGCTCAGTGCATAAAAGGGGGACTTTTTGTCTACCATGCACAAAGCCTAAATCCAATCCCAACACTGGATTAAATCCTAACACTGCAAATATAATGTACTCACACATGACCTTTTTCAGTTTCTCAGGAGCCGGTTTTATAGAGTCAGTTGAAAACTTTCACGTTGAAAAACAGAAGTCAGAAGTTGCGATGGCAATCCAAAAGACCCTCGAGTCTCTTTCATGTTTACAGAATTCTGAAACTGGATACACAAATGTGGATTCTTTCAAAGAAACTCATCTCATAGAAGACGACCAAAAAATCAGTGGTGTCTAAAACTTTCCTGAGCGGACCTGCTAACTAAAATAAATCTTGGAGGTAAAGTGGAATATGACATGGAGAAGTGATTTAGTAGATCCCCAATGGACATCAACTAGGAGTCTGAAATTGCTGATGAATTCATTAAACAGTTTCAAAAAGTGTATTTCTCAAGTTTGTTTGATATACTCAAATGCTTTGTATTGATCAATAGAGTGACTTAGTTCCATAACTTAATTAGGTTTCTCTTTACAGAGCACACAGTGTTCATTTAGGATATTCTTCCATCATGGTATCTTTATATTTGATTTAGTAGTATAATCATGTTGGATGCTGGTGGCCCATAACTGTAATTCTAGCTACTCAGGAGGCTTAGTTCTAAAGATTGTGGTTCAAATGAGCCTAGAAAGAGAAATTCAAGAGATTTTTTTTGTTTTTTGGTGGGGCTTGAACTCAGGGCCTGGGCGCTGTCCCTGAGCTTTTTCGCTCAGGGCTAGCGCTCTACCACTTTGAGCCACAGCACCAATTCTGGTTTTCTGGAGGTTAATTGGAGATAAGGTCTCATACTTTCCTGCTTGGGCTGGCTTTGGGGTGTGATCCTCAGATCTCAGCCTCCTGAATAGCTAGGATTACAGTTGTGAGCCATTGGCACCAGTTCCAAGAGACTCTTATCTCCAGTGAATTACCAAAAAGCCAAAAATGGAGGTGCAGTTCAAATGGTAAAGCACCAGTCTTGAGCAAAAAAGCCAAGCAAGAGCTTGAGCACCTGAGCTCTAGTAACACACACACACACACACACACACACACACACAGAATAATTACATGAAAGTTTTTTTATTTTTGAGGTATTGCTATAGAGCTAAGGCTGGCTTCAAACTCAAAATATTTCTGCTTTTGTCTCCTGAGTGCTAGGATTACAGGCATGTTTCACCAGGCCCAATTTAAAGGGGAAAAAAACCTCCTATAATCCCATATTCTTTGTTTGTTTGAGACATGGTCTTGCTATGTAAGCTTAGGCCAGCCTTGAAGATGTTCTTGCTTTAGCCTCCTGAATGCTAGAATTATAGGCATGGACCACCATTTCTGACTGTCTGAAAGTCATTTATTTCAGAGGTATTCCTTTCTTTCTCTGTATTCTAATTCATATTTTAATGGTTATAATATTGAATATTCATTCTCACACTTTGATTATTAATCTATATCATAAAAATATTTCAGTAGCTGTATGGTATTTTATCACATTGATATTGTAAAAATCACTCACCCATTCACTTATTTATTGGCATTTAAACTGTTTTTACATTTCACTAATAGTAGGCTATGGCCAAATTTACAAGATTATCTAAAATAGGGTCAATAGATATAAATATTAATATGGTTCTGGTATATCACTTGTTATATTACTATAAAAATTAGTTTTCAGCCCCATTGCCAGTGGCTCATGCCTATAATCTTAGCTACTTAGGAGGCTGTGATCTGAAGATTGCAGTTCAAAGCCAGCCCAGGCAGGAAACTGTGAGACTCCTATCTCCAATAAGCTATCCAGAAAAATCTGCAAGAGATGCTGTGGATCAAGTAGCATACTAGCCTTGAACCCAGAAAGGCTCAGGGACATGGTCCAGACCCTGAGTTCAAGCCCAAGAACCAGCAAAAAAAAAAGAGTTTTCAGGTCTGAGGGTATGACTCAAGCAGTAGAGCACCTACCTAGCAAGCATGAGACTCTGCATTTAAATGCTATTAAAAAAAAAAAAAGTCAGATGACAGTGACTTATGCCTGTAATCCTAGCAATGCAGGAGACTGAGATCTGAAGATTGCATTTCAAAGCCAGCCTGAAAAGTCCTCAGGACTCTTAAGTTAACTACCCCAAAATATCAGAAGTGGAACTGTCACTTATCAAATGCTAGCTTGAGCAAAAAAGCTCAAGGACAGCATCTAGGTCCTGAAATCAAGCCCCAGACTGGGGCTTGAAAAAAAGAGGGGTTGAATCAACATAGCCACAGACAAGTTACCCAACTTCAAGCCTCAATTCCTCTGTAAAATGGAAACAATAGTACCTATTCCATAGGGTTGTGATGACCAACTGAAATGAAAATGTATTTAGTTCTTAGCACTTAGTAACTGCTTAATAATACTTATCAGTTATTTTCACTAGCAGTTTATGAATGTATTATTACACAACTTCAACTTTGGACAGTATCAATTAAAAATTTTTTGGGGGGGTCCGGTCGTAGGGCCTGAACCCTGGGCCTGGGCGCTGTCCCTCAGCTCTTCAGCTCAAGGCTAGCGCTCTACCACTTGAGCCACAGCACCACTTCCGGCTTTTTTCTTTTTGCTTATATGGTGCTGAGGAATCGAACCCAGGGCCTTGAGTATGCAAGGCAAGCGCTCTACCACTGAGCCACCTTCCCAGCCCTCAATTAAAATTTTTAAACACTGTGAAACATACTGAAAGGTGACTACTGCTGCTTTTTTCCCTTCCTTTTCCTTTCTCTCCTCTTCTTCAGTTGAAGAGAAGAAAACCCAAAGAAGAAATGACCAGAAAAAAAAGTTAAGTCCAAATACAATTCTCTAAATTATTTTTTACATGTAACGCTTGCTTCCTTGGACCTCTAGGAAGAATTATATTAACGGGACACTGGTAATCTTAGCTACTCTGGAGGCTGAGAGCTGGGGTTCATGTTTGAAAGCCAGCCAGGGCAGGAAGTCTATGAAACTACCAAGAGGCCAGAAATGGAACTGTGGCTCAAAGTGATAGAGTGATAGCTTTCAGCTTAGGCCCTGAGTTCAAGTCCCCAAACCGGTACACACACAAAAAAGTAATAGCTATTATATCAAATGCATACCCTAACTCTGAGTCTTGCTCAAGGTCACCTTAGTCACTTCATTGTATCCACTTATTGAATATGCATTATGTGCTATTCAGTTGTACACAGTGCAGCTATAACTATGAACAAAACAAGAATTTATAATTTCTGTGCTGTTAGAAAGGAGGGTATGTATGGCAGGGAATGAGCTGTACAGATAGACCATCTAATTTTGGATGGGGTTTGTGGTATGAAGAAAACCACTGACCTCAGTAGATGATGTCTGCTTAGGTGTAATGTTGTCTTTCAAGAGGTGACAGCTCAGCTGAGCTGAGTGTGTGTGGCTCCTACCTGTTGTCCCAGCACTTGGGAAGCTGAAGCTGGAGAAACAAAAGTTGGAGGCCACCCTGGGCCACAGTGAGCGATGTCTCAAAAATATTTCATACTGACATTAACAGTATCAGGGTCCTAAAAAGAGTAATGATCTCAATGCCCCAGATGATCAGAGAGGCAGTATAGACAGTAACTGGGGGTAAGTGGTACAAGATGAATCAAGCATATGCCAGACAAGATGTATGCTTTGGGGCATTTATATGTAAGTAACTGGATTTCTCAGTCTGGAAACCAGGAGTGATAAGCACAAAAATTATTTTTGCAGCTCTAGCTGGGAAGCCTGTGGCAGAAATGAAATTAAAATTCCCGCGTCTTTCCTAGCATAGTGAAAGAGATGGGGAGGATGTAGGACACAGGCTAGTCCAATGAAACCTGTCATCCCAGCTATGTAGGAAGCCAAGCAGGAGAATCCTGTCCAGGCTGCTGGGTAAAACACTAAACCTTTCCTGGAAAATGAAAAAGGGCTTGGGGTGTCGCTGAAGGGGTAAACACTGGGGAGCTCAATTCCAGCCTCAGTACCTGGGAGGGGCGGGCTGGGACTCTAGCATGCAGGACTTCCAGGAAGAGATGAGCATTTCCTGGGCAAGGGTTTTAACAAGCCGAGAATGAACAAAGCTGGTCTCAGCCGCGGCAGGCTTGTGTGATGGTTCAGAAGGCCACGCGAGAGGACTGGCCCTCGACTTTGGGCAAACCGTGCAGGCTTTCCTTCCCATTCCCTCCTCCCCCAGGCTTAGGCGCGCCCGCCAAAGCTCGGAGGGGGGCGGGGGCTGAGGGGCGGGGCCGGCCTCCGCTGCACTGCGCCTGCGCTGCGCCTGCATTCCACGGGGCTGACTTTATTTCACCGGAACTCTAGCTTCTGCTTCCGGGTCGGAGCCATGGCGGTGGCAAATTCAAGCCCCGTCAACCCCGTCGTGTTCTTTGATGTTAGCATTGGTGGTCAGGTGAGAGACAGGCGGATACTCAGACCTGTCCCGAATGGAGACTGCACCGTGGGGTAGTAATGAGGAGCTCACCCACCCAGGGAGAAGGGATTCGGGAGGCACCGGAGTCTGTGGACTTCGCTGGGTGCGGGAGGGGAAGGGAGGAAGCGGGCATCCTCGCACCCCGCCGCCGCCCCGCCGCCCAGGGCCTTCCTGAGGTTAGGCCTGGCCGGGAAGGCGCGGGTGGCGCGGGAGAATCCAGGGCCCGGAGAGGCCCGTCCCATCCCCAGCGCGGTGAGCCCTACCTGGCGGGGAACTGAACCGTCTGTGTCTGGTTTCCTGCAGGAGGTTGGACGCATGAAGATTGAGCTGTTTGCAGACGTTGTGCCTAAGACGGCCGAGAACTTTAGGTAAGGAGATGCTCCCGCCGTGCCATCTGGCCTCTACCGTTGTTTAATAGCTCCCATGTGGATTTTTGTAATCTGTATACCTGCGTGTTTGCCATCTAGCTGACCTGTTTGTGGGTTTGTTGGCCCTAGTGTCTAGAACAGCCCTCCCCTCCTGAGATTAGAGGGGCACACAGCTGTGATGTCATGGTAACTGAACCGTTCACTTTTGTTGTTTTCTTTTAGGCAGTTCTGCACTGGAGAATTCAGGTCAGTCTCACATGTTTTCTGCCTAGTGCAGTGGGGTGTCCTGGGGCTGCAGTAAGGGTATTGGGGTGCCATAGGCAGACCTTGAGGGATAAAAGAATACCCAAGGATCAGCCGTTAATTCACTTACCTTCTTTTGTGTCGCTCTTCCGGCCAGGCCATCTTTAGGACAGACTCCCTTTGGCTCCAGTATGTTGTGAATTGAAAAGACTTAATTAGTCTGTCATCATTCTAAGTCTCTTTCTTTTTGTTTATAGAAAAGATGGGGTTCCAATAGGATACAAAGGGAGCACTTTCCATAGGTAAGACATGAAAACACCATTCTGAGGGCTTTCAGAAATAGAATCATCCTTTGGTATCTATAGGGGATTGGCCCCAGGATCCCCCAAAATACTAAAATTTGTGGATATTTAGATGTTTGTTTAAAATGGTATATTTACTCTTTTATTTTAGAGCCTTTGCCTGGCATGTGTGAGGCCTTGCCTTTGATCCCTAGCACTGAAGGAAAATTCTTTTTTTTGGGGGGGGGGGTCCGGTTGTGGGGCCTGTACTCTGGGCCTGGGCGCTGTCCCTCAGCTCTTCAGCTCAAGGCTAGTGCTCTACCACTTGAGCCACAGTGCCACTTCTGGCTTTTTTCTTTTTGCTTATGTGATGCTGAGGAATTGAACCCAGGGCCTCAGGCATGCAAGGCAAGCGCTCTACCACTGAGCCACCTTCCCAGCCCCTGAAGGAAAATTCTTGCATGTATCCTAGACACATCCTTTTGTATCCATTTTTTTTTTTTTTTGGTCCAGTTGTGGGGTCTGAACTCTGGGCCTGAGCACTGTCCCTCAGCTCTTCAGCTCAAGGCTAGCGCTCTACTACTTGTGCCACAGCGCCACTTGCGGCTTTTTTCCTTTTTGCTTATGTGGTGCTGAGGAATCGAACCCAGGGCCTCAGGCATGCAAGGCAAGCGCTTTACCACTGAGCCACCTACCCAGCCCCCAGTATCAATTTTTTGTGTGTGTGCTAGTCTTGAGGCTTGAACTCTGGGCCTGGGTATTGTCCCTGAGCTTTTGCACTCAAGATAGTGCTCTACCACTGGCGCCACCATGATCCTCAGATCTCGGCCTCCTGAGTAGCTAGGATTATAAGCACGAGCCACCAGTGCCTGGCTTTCTTCTGTATAATTTAAATCATCACTAAATTATTTATAATACCTAATACAATGTAAGTGCTTTGTAAGTACTTGTAATATATTGTGGGGGAAAGTTTACCTGTTTGTACAGATTATAATATTTTCTGAATATTTTTGATGTGAAGTTGGTTTAAGAGCGTATAAGATAGGGAGGATATACTCTTCTTCCTTGGAGAATGAGGCCATTTAAAAGAAAATAAAACCAGCGGCTAATTCTGAATTGTCATGTGAATGCAAACTTTTTTATTTTTTATTTTTTGCCAGTCCTGGGGCTTGAACTCAGGCCCTGGGCACTGTCCCTGAGCTTCTTTTGCTCAAGGCTAGCATTCTACCACTTGAGCCACTGTGCCACTTCCAGCTTTTTCTTGTTATGTGGTACTGAGGAATTGAACCCAGGACTTCATGCATGCTAGGCAAGCACTCTACCACTAAGCCACATTCCCAACCCCAGATTTTTTTTTTTAAAGAATACAATAGTCTGCAAGTATGTGTATTATATCCTGCTGGTTGATATTTATAACTTGTTCTTAAAATGTGTAATATGATTGTCCTAGGATAATCACATTCCTCAGGGCTACATTCCATTATAGAAATAGAAATTATAGAAATGCCCTATGACCTGGTTGTGGTTAATAATTACATTACTGTGTAAGTGACAACACAAATAAAAACCAGAGACTTTCCAAAAAAGCAGTGATATTGATTTGGGACTAATAGAACATTGCAACGTGAATATATGGGCCATAAATAACGATATGTAATGAGGATGAAGCAAAGAAAAAAATTTTAAGGGCAAAATAAGATGTTTTGAAACAATCCATTGCTACATGGATCAGTACAAGAGTGGCATCATGGGGCTGGGAAGTTGGCTCAGTGGTAGAGCGCTTGCCTTGCATGCCTGAGGCCCTGGGTTCGATTCCTCAGCACCACATGAGAAAAAAGCCAGAAGTGGCGCTGTGGCTCAAGTGGTAGAGTGCTAGCCTTGAGCTGAAGAGCTGAGAGACAGCGCCCAGGCCCAGAGTTCAGGCCCCACGACCAGACCAAAAAAAAAAAAAAAAGAGTGGCATCAGTCTGAATTTGAAAGATAGTTGCTGGGTAGATATACTTCAAGAAGTATATTTTGTGTGATTGTAGTCTTAACAGAGTCCTTTGTGATAGTTACTGTTATTAGCCAATCATCTGTGAAAACCTATCCTTAATCTCTTGGCTTTATTCTTCATGTATTTTTAGAGTTGACATAAGTGGCTCCATTTTAATTTTGGTTTCACATAACCCTATCAAGAGCTATAGTCTTTAATCTTTAACAACATTTTTGTGAGATAGCATGTTATCTCTATTCTACAGAGAAGGAAAATGACTAAGAAAGGCTAAAAATCAGACCAAAAGATAATAGCTAAGTTATTGAGCCTTTGTGTGTCTAGCAGTCCATTTCACATATACTCTCAGTTGCTCTTTTCTCTAAAATATACATTAAGCTTTTGGCCTGCCTTTTGATTTGGTGAACATTTTAGTATTTATTCTTGCAAGGATTCAGCCCTTTCCTCTCATAATTTTTCAGGTTCCAGATCATGCACTTAGATTAACTCTAAGATGCCCTAACATATTTAAATACTGATTTTATGGTTAATAATACTTTCAATCCACTTGCTTCTGGAACAAATAATAATGTTGCAAGCCAAAGAGATAAAGACTGTTTTGAAATCATTATTAACTTACTATTTCAGTGATGAAGTCAGTGTTTTTCTAACCATAGAAATTCTTGGGATCTTTTGCTGTCTGTTTCAGGGTCATAAAGGATTTCATGATTCAGGGTGGAGATTTTGTTAATGTAAGTATTTACTTGTGTAAGTATTCCTGTTATTTAAAAAAAAAAAACTATAGATTTAGGTGTTGATACTATTTCTGTTGCTGCTGCTATTTAGATTCCTGTTATTTAAAAAAAAAACTATAGATTTAGGTG